GTTTATTTCAATAAAAAATGAGTAAATCACTAACGACAATGTTAAAAACGAAACGTCAAAAGTATTCAAAGAAAATTGAAGAAAACTTATTTCGATAAAAGTTAGATGTTATGACATGCTCTCGTCACAAATGATGTATTCGAAATTTCTTTAATGTTGTATTTTTTATTCAAAGAGCGTTTTTCTGCAAAGAATAAAGTATAATATATTTCAACTAGTATTTAGCATACAAAAAGGTTTCCAGCAAGTTTTCCAGAATCACAAAGACTATATAAATGATGAAAAATAGAAAATTAATGTAGCATGTCTACTATATTATCGTGCAATACTCTAGATAATAGATGTCGTTCGTCTTGTGACCGATTTACTATGATGATTATCATAGTAAATCTTCTAACCCAAAAATATTTTTGTTCTAGAATAATGATATTCTTACTCATACATGTTAAAATAATGTTCTGTCCTGACAATTTTCTCTTTCAATAAGTTAGCAAAATGAAAGTAAAAAAGCTGCATATCCTTTACCCCTTTTCACTAGTAGTTACATATAGTTTCCCTGAAAGTGCATTTATAATTTGAATCTGCTGTTTTTGATTGATATGATCCCTTTCTTTTACTAATACGTCAATGACTTCGCCGAAAATAAAGGGTAAGAATATAAGCTTCTATTGCACAGACAGAAAAAAAGAAATCGACCCGACAATAATGATGAGTACTATTTCTCATGCGTAATACTATTGATTTTTTCGATAAAAGATTATACATATGGGTCATGCGACATTGCATGACTATTGTTCCTCTTTCGAAAGGTAGTATATAAATGAAGTATCTTGCAATACTGTAGATCATTCTATAAAAATGATACCTGATAAATGTTATACTGTCGATTGTACTAATAAAGATATTGCATTGTCTGATAGATTGCGACAGGAACTGATTACCAACGGTTATGTGAAAGTGAAATGTGAAAACTTGGTAAATGGAGACTATGACAAAGCCTGTCTCGATGTTATCAACAATATAGGTGGAGTTTGTTGTCCATATGATGATGATCCAACATCATTGATTTGGTCCGTCAAAGTACTTGAACTTGATACACCAGAATCAAAATTACAAGCATCTCAACTTGATCGAGAACTTGTATTACATACTGATTGTTCATATGAACATGATGCACCACATTTTGTTGCTTTGTATGTTGTTCAATGTGATCGCACTGATAATGGTGGCAAGTTTCATATGATTAGTACTCAAGAAATTATTGATAAATTATCAGTGGAAACAAAGCGTTTATTACGAAATGAAACTTATAAGATTAATGTTCCACCAGATTTTCGAAAAGGTGATATCGATTATATATATGGCTCCATTTTACTCAATGGTGATAAAAATATTCGATATAGACGAGACATTGTTGATAAAAATCGATTGAAAGAAGAATCACCAGAAAAACAAGCAGCCATTGCCGAGCTAAATTCAATAATTTTGACTGACGATCAATTAAATCTTTTTCGACCAAGGCTTGACAATAATATGATGATATTATTCAATAATCGTACTTTTCTTCATGGTCGTACAAAAATTCTAGATCTTGAGCGCAATGTACTACGTGTTCGTTTCAATTTAGCTTGATTGAAATTTTTAGCTTATTTAATCTTGAAAAACTTCAAAACTTATATAAAAGTATTGACATACACATGATCTCAATATTGAAATAAAGTAAAGAAATATTCGATAAGTTGTTGTATCTTCTCGATTGACGTTGACTTTGAATAAATATGCAACAGACCGTCTGAAATCGATAATGCCTAGCTATGCTAAAAATTGACCTTTCTTGTATTGTCCATGTTGAAAAGAAACTGTCATTAACAGATAAAGAGTTGTAGAAAAAAAGGATACATGTATTTTGAAGACTAAAAAGACAAAAAATTATCTTATAAATGATGAATCTAGTCAGAGTACCTAGTTTTGACGTATGCTCGAGCAGTCTTTTTATTTATGCATTCTCATGTAGACAAATCAACCTTTTGGTGACATCATATATTAACAGCCTCAAAACTATGTCATTATATGCAGTTTTCTATAGTACGTGTAACGAACCATTTTCCAAACTTCCTACATTAAAATTAACAATAGACACAGGACTAAAATTGTCGAAAAACGAAGTATGATTTTTCTATCCCAAATAATCGATCTTTTTGAAAGCGTTTCTGAACTTTCTTTTAAATTAGATCTCAAATAATGTGTTGAAAAACCTTTTAACATAAATATTTTTGTACAGCTGGTTGAGCTCTATTGAACCACACAAAAGTATTTTAGAAAAAAAAACTCGCTCCATTTTGGTATTACTGACACCTTAAATACTTTTTCTGGACTCTTCAGTATATAGCTTATATGATAGGTCTCTGAATGTCAAAAAGCGTTTCAAGATAGAATGCACGAATTTCAGACTATTGATCTCCTTTGATTTTGAATATAAACGTAAAAACATGAAGAAATCATACGCCAAAGATGCAAGACCAAAAAGTATGACTTCTATACCAACGTGGCGCTGTATCGTCACCTACAGAAAAGAAAAATAGAACGTCTTTACAGCCTAATTTTTAGTAGCCTTTATTTTAAATCTACACTATGCTCATATTCTACTCAGGATAGGAAACGAACGAATGGGGATTCGAATTGAGTAACTCATATTCATTCTTATGCTGAATGAAAATCGTTAGGTGTTTCAAAAATATATGACAGATACTATCAAAGGAATGGTATAATAAAAAAAAACTCCTCAAAAGGGTTAACTATCCTTATAAGTCCTATATCAAATTTTCATAAACCTTTTTTGAGCACATGTCATTTTGTGAAACTTTTAAAGGGTTTGTTATACGTGTCATTTTCATAAACTCTTGAATTATCATATAGATATCAAACTTCTGAAGGATTTATGAAAAATGTGATGTACGGTTTATTATTCTGTGTTTTTTAGTGATCTCCCGTACCTGTGTCGTATTTTGAAAAGTATGTAATGAGTAAAGTTGCGAATGTCTAGTATTTTTGAAATATGCTTTCGAAGATTTTATATAACTGAGAGAGCTGCTGATACTTGACAATATCAGAAAAAATATATGAATATTTTGTGAGTTGAGCATTAAACATAACAATTTAATTTCATTAATATGAAAGTATCATATGGCAACCAATAGTTCCATCAATATTATTAAATTCCTTAATGCTTTATTACTTTTCACTTTTCTTCACTTGACTTTTTTTTCGTTGCTTTTTTCGAGAAATAACTCAATATCAGCATTCTTGTTTACAATTTTCCCTAATTTCTCTTCAACTTTCATAATTTGATTCTTCTAGTATTTTTTTCTTTCTCCAATTTGCTAAAGGTCTTTTTTTACAATGAAGCAATCGTTCCTTAGACTGCATACTGCTACATTTGTCTTCGTTGACTCCTTCATAGTTGTAGGATATATTTTGAAATGACTTTCACTGTGATGACTAGTACTTACAAAATCGAAGCTTTTATTTGCTTGATGCTGTTCGAACGTTGGAGCAGTCTGAGAAAGATATCACCATCATTATATTTTGGAATTTTATCTTATTTGTATATAGATTTGAATATGATGTAACATGTTAATTTTCAAACTCTAAGTCATCTGTCTTACTGGTGAAAAGACAACAAAAACGATCGATTAAGTCAATAGAACATCATTTCATGAATTCACACAGCAAGAAGACATTAACGAGTCATTAGTGTTTTGTTGTGCCTAAAATGAAACGTTAGATGATGGCAATGCCGAATATGTAAAACTAGTTGAACATTTGTATAAACTTCTCAACAGTGTGAATGTCATTTTCCTCTATTTCGTATTCAATCATTTCTTGGTTATTTCATGATTATTGTCAGGCAAAGATAATCTAATCATATTATCTGTGGACTGAATATTGTAGTAATCGTAAAAGCATCGATAATATTTTAAAAAATTACAGGAAAACATGAAGCGATTATCTATTATGCTAAAGATTATTTTATTTTTGCACAACTGAATCGTGCATTATGTACAACAAAGTGAAGTATCTTGTACCATTTCGAATTATTATGAAGGATATTAATGATCAGTTGTACGAATTATTGACAGATCAAATCAAAGACCAGTCATTCAATGTTTCTTGAAATCAATATGTTCATCTGTTGGAAGTAGTACAACTCATTGTGATCTTCAAAAACCACTCATCTATTGTCATTAGAATCTACATCTTCAATTGCACAATATGAAAGATAGCCGTCGGATTTCTTCGGACTGAAAATGATGCAAAAATGCCATAAGATATTTACTAATTGTTTTCAGAAAGTCACTAATTTATCCACGTAGCATAATCTTTAATTAGTTAGAAACCATCTGTATATTAAAATTATTGATTCAGTTCATTTCCTACATAAGATTGATCTTAAAAACTAGCTGAGCTTCGAAATTCTGTGAGAATTTGTTTGAAAAGAAAGGACAATAGTCATAGTAAGCATTTAGCCGTCCACAAATATATGATTCCCTTTTCTCCTGTCCATGTTTGTCTAGTCGTGATGGATCTTTTTCTCCCCTTGATCTGAACGCCCTTAATGGGTCATCCCTTATGTCACCATTGTACTATTCCATTGCAAATATGAACAAGTCTATCCTGTTAAATGAAACAGTTATATAGTTATGCGTTGCATGGATTCTCATAATCATGTGTATGTGTGCATATGAAAAAAGTACTTATTAAAATAATGTATAGTGAAAATAGACTAAGTAAATTGAAATTAAAAAGAATACACAAAACTACACATGACTACATATGCTCTTTGTTTTGTTTGTTTGCCACATTTTTCATCATTGACATTCTTAATGACACGAATGCAATCTGTACGTAATATGTCAGCATAAAATCAAAATCATCAAAATAAAACATACATATATTATTAACCGTTATTATCTCGTTTTTTTTCTTTTATTTGTTTTGATATGATTTCGAATGACGTTGAAAATAATATTAGTAGTAGTATTAGCAACATTACTACTGTTTCACAGCCATCAACGACTGTAACATCATCAAGTCGTGGTAATACAAATTATTCATCAATCAATACATTAATTACAACTGATACTCGACAAAGTGTTCGTCTTTCAACTAAATCTTCTAAAAGAACATCATCATTAAATCAATCAAGTATCCATCGAACAATATCGGGCGGTGTTGCTCTTACTCATTCAGCAAAATTAAATGTTCGTAAACGAACTTCGGGTAGCACTGATACTCAAGGTACATCAACTAGTTCTATAAGTTATTTCACAATTACATCTAATGATAATGGTGGTATGCATGATAGCAACAATAAAAATGGCACGTCTTATCGAGATCTTCTTCCATCTGATCAATCTGATGATGATGAAATTTCAACAAACAACAGTGTAGTGATCAAACAAAAATCAACTGAACTATTAACTCGATCTGAAGTGTTATCTTACTTTTTTAGTTCAAGACAATGATGATAAATGCAAATTATGTGACCAAGTAAGCCTTCCATTATAAACTTCAATATGCATATATAATATATTAATATAAATATATAGAGAGAAACCAATGCATACATATGTATAACGAGCATTCTAAGACTTCTATCTCGAATTGTATAGAAAATATTGCTATTGTAATAAGTATAGTTGAAAATCTCTCTCTAAAAACAACATGTAGTAAAGTGTGCTCTTCAAAATAATTATATATAGATTGCACTAGCTCATCTAGACAAGAAAAGCATAATTTTAGAATGTATCGCAAATAAACACCCAATTCATCATTATTCTCTGGAAATATTTTAAAAAGTTATTTTATAATGAACACTAATTAAAATCATTCATAACCAAAAGTTTATGATTATAATATCTTTGATTTATATCTTTTTTTCTAAGGTACCGATGTTTTATCCGTCAACTCATCTTTAAATCCTATGTGAGTAAATGTAATGAAAATTGAAGAACTAGCGGTACCGCTACCGTTGTTAATAAGGATTCGTTAACTACTTCACGTCTCAACTTGTCACTATGTTATATAAAACATATACTTACATAAGAAAGGAAAAAAAGAGAGAGTGAAATGAGCAGAGGAAATAATGAAAAAGAGGAAGGGAAAGTTCCAAGGAACAAGAAGAGAAAGAAGTGACTAGCGTAAACACTGATCTGGAAATTATTACAGTGAAGATTTATCGGACTTATTTTTAACTTTATTGCCTTTAATCAAACCGTAGGACCCATTATTTGACTGGAGAAAAATTCTAAGAGTCATTCGATGTACCAACAGGCAAAATTTTATATCGAAACTCCTTTATTTGGTTTTTCGAGTAGTATCTAAAATAGGTGGAAAATCCAGTACACCAATCATAATCTGACGGCAAAGATACATGATGATGAATCCTTTTAGACTTTTTTAACCTTCTTGGGGCCTGTTTATGAGTCCAACATAAGCTCAAACAATGGATGTCACTCGGGGTAGTTTCTTCATGATTTAAAAACAAAGAATCTTGAAGAAAAAGTGATATGTATTCATCATTCAGTTTTATCTAAAAAATTCTATCAAAAAATCGGTATCTATTAATAAGGAAGAACTCTGTTGGTGTAGAAGAATATTAAAATTATCTACGACCTATTTTGTGACTTGCTAATATGAAACAAGTGTAAAAAAAAAACCGCGCGGTTGTTTTTTTTGGTTTCTTCTGTAAACAGTCCGAAAATTCATAGAATAATTATTTAGTATCTTGAGTAATTCCTATTTGCTACGTGTCCATGTCAACAATTTACACTATGTGACTATCAAATAAAAAACTACCAATATAAAAAGAATGTAAAGATAACAGCCGAAAACAGAATTATTTATTTACCGAACAATCATGTCCAAAATTACACTGCTGATATTGACTATGATTATTTATTTAAAATATTAATTATTGGTGATAGTGGTGTTGGGTATACATAAACTTTTGTTTTTTATTTTCTATAATTCTCTTTTATACAAAATAATATTTAACTTCAATAGAAAAACTGCAATTTTAAAACGATTTTCTCAAAACTATTTTCGAACGAATATTTTCTTACTGTTGGTGTTAGTAAGAATTCTGAATAATAATTCTTTTTGTTTCTCATTGGTTCTTTTCTTCGAAAATTTTAAACTAAAAACAAAAAATAGATGTTCAAATTCGAACAGTTACTGTTGATTCAAAATGTTGTAAATTACAAGTATGGGATACAGCTGGTCAAGATCGTTATAAATGTATTACATCATCATTTTATCATGGTGCACATGATATTATAATTTGTTTTGATATACCCAGGTGATTCGATCCGACTGTCGGATTACGTCGGATTATATCGGATTATATCGGAAAAATTACCGGATTTTAACGGATCCGACGGGAACTCGTCGGAAGTTGTCGGCGTCCTAGCCACAGGATTCCGACAGGAGGTTCCGGATGTCGGAATAATCAGGATCCTGCGAAATCCCTGAAACTCCGACACTTTCCGACATCCAGAACCACTTGTCGGAATCCTGTGGTTAAGATTCCGACAAATTCCGGCGAATTTCTATCGGATTCGACAGGGTGAATTCGACCTGGGTAATGAATCGTGATAGTTTTGATAATGTTGATAAATGGCTTGAAGAAGTAAAAAGACATTGTGGAAATCAACCACCTGTGTATCTTGTTGGTACAAAATCTGATTTACAATCACGACGTGTGATTCTTTATTTAACAATAAAAACATATACTGATACAAAAATTTATCTTATATTGAAACAAGTTCAAAAAAAAAATGAAAATGTTGAAAATTGGTTTATTGATTTTGCACAAACATTGGTTACACATACTGATCAAATAGAAATAAATCATACAAGTAAACAAATAGAGAAGCCATCAATTGGTTTAAATGATAAAACAAAACCGATCACGACTAGTGGATGTTCAGCAGGAGATAGGTGTACCATTTAAATATTGATCAAGTTTTTGTTTGTGATACATCAATATTTATTGAGTTAAACAGTATGTACATGACTTTTCAATGCTATAACTCTGAGAATGATTTTGTATTGTGATATCTATTTATCATTTTTTAGAATTTCGTTAATAAAGTAACTAGTGTAGATGCACTGCTTATACTAACTATATGACATTGAAGTTTTATTCGACGAGTAATGCTATACGAATAGTTAACAAACTGATGAACAGAGTTTAATTGAAAAGAATGTATTTGTAGAATACTCTTTTAGTTTTAGTAGCGAATTCGCTGTTAACTTTTCCAAATTTTTATCAAGCTATTCTGAGATATGAAGTTATCGAAGCATTGTTTTCCAGAGCTGTTTGTATTTAATTCGAAAATAGTGCTCGATACAACACGAAAGAAGATATCATGATAAATTGCGATATACGCACAAACAGAAACTTTCTGTTATCAAGCACAATAGCTATTTGAAATGAGTACTTCAGCTAAAACTTCCAGTTGATCATCAGTGAATTTGACTTGATGTTCGTGCCATGAATCGTAATTGGTACGACGAAATTCACAGAAACATTGCTTTATCGATTTTCAAAAATAATCGAATACTTATTAAGGCGCAGTACAACAAGTAGAAATAGCTCACTTGTATTATATGAGGATCATGTGTGCTCACAAAGTTTCATTAATGTATTTGATAAATGAATTGGAATATCGTAGAGACTTGAAAGATATATGTACTCATACTTAGATTTCTATGAAATAACAAATAACAATGAATACTTGGTGTTCAGAAATTTGAAAAAACTTTTTCTTCTTTACATATCTCTTATAACTTTGTTGTATTCTTATGAATACTAAAAGACTTAAACAGAATTTACAAAAGGACATAATTTGAGTATGAAATTATTCTTATGAATTTTGTACAGCACTTTTGACTTGGACATGAAACACTTTAATGGGATAAGTCAGTCCTCTCTCAAAAAGCTCTATCTTTCGAAAAAAATCAAGATGGGATTATTGCAAGGGAAAACATGCTACTTTTGTACTTTAAAGTGCGTCAAAGTACATTAAAGTAAGCGAAGTATGAAGTATCATGTTCCCCCTTGGCGTCAAGACATAAGCAATATTTTTTTTGTTTTGAAGCTCTAAATGAAAATAAATCATTGTTGGACCATGTTTTTAATAGTTGGTGTTTACGTTGAGAAAATGAGACTTTGTGTCGTAGGATCATTCTCTCTATGCTGAGGTCAACACCTTGTTTACTTAAAAGCTCATAATAAGAATGAACAGAAGAAACAAATATAAAAATTCTGTTCAAACAAAAACTACGCAAAAAATGTTGGCTTGTAGTTAAAATCTTTTAACTTCTGTATCTCTTTTAATGATCAATTTTTAGGACTTCTCTCAGAAGCCATAAATGAACTATGATTAACATAGAAATTCATTCTAATTTGACGTATCGGACTCCAATTTTTATCAAAAGTATTTCTCACTCGGACCATTCCTCTCTGACAATCGAAACTCAAACAGTCCAAACTGATTAGTAAATCGATTGTGAGAGACGCCATTAAAACTAATTTTAAAAGAATATTATATTATTCAAATGATATTTAATAATATACATAAGATTGACATAAATGTGTTATTTATTGTCGTTAAATGATCCCACCAAAACAGACAAAACATAACAATAATTAGATCCCACAAACAAATAAAATAAAATAAAATAAAATAAAACATTTACTTTAGTAATAAGAACACAAAGTGAAATAAACATTCACAAATTTTATTGACTATATTGCACAAAAAATAAATACGACTGACTTTCTTAACTTGATGTATCTAGACTAACCTATCAGATCTTTAATAATGTTTATCAACACATTTATGTTCGTGTGATAATGGTTTCTTTTCCTCCATATTTCATTAGAATATCCAAAAGTAAATTTTTCAGTTGTCGATTTGTAGCATTCGTTGCACATACAAATAACCATCTTTCAAGAGAAGATATAAGAAGATTATTATTAGACCCTGTTGATGAACACCAACAACCATTTTCTTGTAATGCTGTAGCTAAATATAAACATAAATCATTCCATCCATCAACATAATGTTTAAGAGCAACAGATATATGTTCATTATTTCGTGTAGAAAGTGTCTCTTGTAATGTACGTTGATCATCACTAAATTATTTTAATTGTTTATTTATATTGATCGAATTACATGTAACTTACTTTATGGTTTTTGTAGTTTCATTAAATAAAGTTTGTGAAAAGAATGGATGATGAGTTGATGATGGTGATTGAGCTAATAAACTTTTACGATGTACAGGTGAGGATAAGTTTGTTGGATCTACTTTACGCATTATTTTATGATCATGTAATACACGTGAAATCATATCTTGATTAACAATAAAATATTCAGTTTCATTTTCAGATATGAAATATTGTTTTAAACTAGATTGTGTTGTTGAAGGTATAAATTTATCAATTAGATCTTGATCGGCTCGTAAAAGATATAAACCCATTTGATTCATCTATATCAAGAAAATTAATAAACAATCGAAATATTAATTTTTATCATTGTTCTTTTATTTTTATAATATTACTTCTGTACAAGTTTCCAATCGATTTGAACCAGTAAAAAGTAAATCAGCTATACCGTCGCTAAGCATTTTTAATAGATCAATATAATTATATGGATTTGTTGCAATATATGATGCAAACTGACTAAAAAATCCTTTTTTTTTCTCGTTATCTTCTACTGTTTCTTGTTTAGGTGATTGTGTTTCGGGAAATGATATATATTCATCAGAATTATTATCTATCTGTTCATTAATTTCCTACACGATAAAACAAAACACAAATAATTCAAATATTAAATAACTTGAGTGATTATGATCGGCATCAGAAGTCAAGGCATTTGGATACTTTCTAAATAAATTTTCATAGAAACAAGGTAAAGACTAGAGGTTTTCAATGCATGATAATCAATACCTAGAGACATATTTGTAAAAGCAAAGTCTTCTCTGCGAAAAAAAAATCTGAAGACCAGTCTTTCAAAAGATCTTTGAAATACCACACTGGATTTTTAAAAAATACTATAGAAGTCTATTAACTTTTTTATTTGAATAGATGGACCACAGTGTTCATAAAAGGCTAGATCTTTACATATCTCTTATCTTGCAAGATTTAGAAATATCAGGCAGCTTGTCTAACACTCTAAGACTCCTATTTCTTAAGTATGACACTATTATAAATACTTGAACACATAGATTATCGATCATACTAAACATCATAGCAGTGTTTATTTCCTTTTTAGAATCATGCTTTTATTGGTCGTAGCAGATCATAATTCATATATGGTATGGCCGTATGAAAAAAATGCTCTTATGACAATCTATACACTCTTCATGCTTGAATACAATACAAAATATGAAAGAAAATAATTTTTCTAATGTCATCATACGGAAACACTATATATTAATTATGATCGGATACGATCAGCAAAAAAAAAGTTATTCTAAAAAGCATATAAATATTGCCACGTCGTTGAGCATAGGTGATGAGCTATGTTTTCAAGCGTGTGTAAAAGTTCTTCATGTGAAGCAAGAAAAATCCTAAGGCTTCGAATAAATTGCCTGATATTTCTAAACCTTGCAACATAAAATAGTTGTATAGAACACTGAAAGCTATCTACTCAGGTAAAAACATCAATACACTCGTATGGAAATTTTCAAGAACTGATTTTCAGGTTTTTTTTCCAAAATAATTTCACTCATAGAGATATATCTCTAAGTCTTGATTATCATACTTTGAAAATCGTAGATCGATACTTTATTCTTATGAAAATTTACTCAAAAAAAAATCTGAATGCCTTGAATTTTGGCGTCGACAATAGTTATACTTGTTGTAAATTAGGATTAGCTGATTGAATAGATCGATTAACAAGTTCATCTTTAACTCCACACATTAAATAATCGACAAGATATTGAAATGCAATTCGTTTAATATGTTGAAATGTTACAGCTGGTGGATCAAAATTAAATAATTGAAGTAAAATATTTCGTAAACCAAAATTACTAATAGCTGAATCGAAACGTTCAGCTAAATCAATTGTTTGACTTAAACAAGGTATTAATTCTGACCAATTCAATTCACCAACAATATGAATTAATTGTAAATGAAAATAATTTAAAAAAACAAATGTTTTCATTTGTATTTCATGTGGATTAGGATCATTTATTATTGCTGTTTTTGTTCGAAATGTAAATCGAAAGAATTTTCCTTCAGGAACTTTCTGTTGTTGTTGGGAATGTTGATGATGTTCATTAAAAAGTTGTTGACATATTGGAAAAATAGAACTATCACCATTAGCTATACCATATGATGATGATGTAGATGAACTTGAATCATTTTGTACAAAAACACGTACATTATGAAGAAGATCTTCTGGTGACGAAATAAGAAATTCATACATTAAATATTCTGTTGGTAATGATGTAAGTAAAAGTGCATGTTGAAGATTATCAATACATATTGATTTAAGCGATTGATCAAATTTTTTCGATATATTTGATAAAAGATGTTTAATACATGATAAACCTAAAGTTAATTTAACAAAAGAAGTATTTCATAGAACTTATATTATGTTTTTCAAAGACAAATATAGTAAAAGATCTCAGAATAATGAGTAGAGATGCATTGATCTGTCACAGTCATCATATCGTCAACATAAAAAGCGTAAATTGCCCCAGTGATAAGATAGTGAAATAGTCAATATGAATGTTTTTGAACTTATTGAGATGTATAGAATAGTATGCTGAAACTTGCTGCAAAGATAATGGATTTGTATTATATAGGCTTATTTGCTCATTAAATCAGTGGTTAGAATAACAGTAGTATTCAATTAAACAAAACAGAATACAAGAATAAAAAGCAACGATGGAATAGCAACAAGACAAACAAAAAATAGAGTTTCAGTAAAAAAAGAT